AGGAGCTGATGACAGTTCTAACACTACAGGATTCAACCAGGAGAGCACAAGGAAAGTACCTGGCCTCCAGCTGTCCAGAGAAAGCACTGAATAAAAAGGAAACTTTTCTTTGCTGTTCTGGATCTTTCTCACGGATATTGCTAATATTTTCTCTTCCATCGGAATAGCCTACTCTGGTTTGTTTCATAACAAAAAACCTATCATTCCTCCTCAGTATTCTCCTCCGGAGTCTCTTCAGTTCCACGCACACCGAATGATATGTCTGGTGCATGGCACTGAACGCCCAGCTACAGATCAGACCTCATCTCTGACCATTCAGAGGTTCGAGCAAACTTTCAGATTATAGATGAAGAGCGATTACATTCAGCCTCTCCTTTTGACCATCCAGATGTCTTTCTAGTTTCAGCCACCTCAGCCACAGTTCCAGCCTCCTCAAGAAGGAATCAGCCATGTGGCTGGGGCCCAGGATTCTGCAGAATGATTAACTGGAACCCCCATCAACCCGATCTTTGTTCCCTATGTCCTCACAGGTAGAACCCCCTCTCTGCTTCTCAGTCTGGTGCTGTGTAAGAAGTACCCTTTGTCTTTCACAGATGGGACAGGCAGGAGCTTGGCACAGTTCTCGGGAAGCTGCCTGAAAGACCCTCAGTTCCTATCCCTTATAGCTGCGTGCCCCAATGAGTCCCCCAGGCTTCCTACCACTGTTATGTTTGCTTATAAACACGTATTCCTTTCCCCACACAGTTCCTCATGTTGTGGTGACTCCAATCGCACAAATCTCTTTGTTGCTCCACCATAATTGTAATTTTGCTACAGTTATGAATCATAAGGTAAATATCTGATATGCAGGATATCTGATATGTGACCCCTAAAGGGGTCGCAACCCATGGGTTGAGAACCACTGCTTAGGGAAAGAGGACATCCCCTTCAAGAACAGTGAGTAAGGAGTGAGTCATTCGGGGTGGGACTGAGGGGAAGCTGTCACTTCACTTCCTGTGTGTCAGGAAGGTATCTTTAAGGAGAAGGGATTTGGGATATTAGACTAGGCAGTCTTCCCCACTCTACCGGGATTTCATTCTTAGGTAGCTTGTGGGTTCAGGTCCTCCAAATTATCAGCCTTCTCTGTTTTGGTTTTATCTCCCTCTCACTCCAAGGCCTTCCACATAGCTTCCCTGGAGATTCCAACCTGTCTCATTTATGTCTAGTTTCCTAACCTAAAAGCTTCACTGGACCAAGCAGTACTCCTATATGCCTGTAGTTTTACCATTCAGGAAGCCGAGGCAGGAAAATAGAGACTTCCAGGCTAGCCTGAGCTCTAAAGTGAGATCCTGCCTTTTGGGGGGTAGGGCAGAGCAGCACTAGGAAGATGCCTCCGATAGTCAAGTACTCGCCACTCAAACAGGACTTGAAGGTGACTCCTAGCACCGATGGAAAAGATAGGTGCTGTTAGCTTACACAGACAGACACACATACACATTTTAAAAGGAACAAAATAAAACAAAAACCCTAAGTCCAAATCTCTTATGAAGAACACCACCCTATGCTGTCTCCAGTGGGTGAGGCCATCATCTGTGCCCAGGAAACCTACCCAGTGCCTGCCATTAATTTTACCAGACTTCTTTCATTTCCTAAAACCTCTAATCTTACTGCCACTGAATGCCTCACCTTCTGCTGAAAGGAAAATAGTCTCTTTTATCAAACTCCTTCAGTTTTGCCCCAGCTGACTTCGTTTCTGCACATTTCTGTCTGTGAGGTGTTTTCCTTAAAGCCAGTCTGTGTGTATGTGTTTCTGGCGGGTCCCAGTGTGTTTCTCCATACAGACTATAAACAGATTCCAGCCCTTTTCTATCAAAAACAACCATTAGTATCAGTTTAGAAGTGAGAAGCAGGTGCTGAGTCCAAAAGCTCCTCCAGGTGATTCCTGTGTGCATCCAAGGCCAAAAATTACAAACAAGCTATGTATGATGGTGCGGGCCTGTGATGCTAGCCCTGAGGAGACAGAGGCAGGAGGTCCTGGAATTGGAGAGCAGCCTGGGGCTGCATAGTGAGATTGTCTCAACACACACACACACACACACACACACACACACACACACACACACACAC